ATTTGGAGGTGCTGATAGGTAATCCTTACTGCCATCGGTACCAACCTGAGGATAAAAGATTTAAAGAAACGGAAACACAAGGACTTGGGGGGGGGGGGTGCAAAAGAAAAGTGAGATTTATGTAAACCCATTGGGAGTGCGCTGGAAATCTCTTTGATGAAAAAGTGAGATTGCTTTGAAAGAGACTTTATTGAAGAAAAAAGCTAGTGTGTGTACAGGGAGAGAGGTTAGCTGGGTCACTTATCAGTCTGTCCTGTTTTTCCCCATTCTTTTCCTGAAATAGCGTACATGCCATATGAGTCTCCACATCCCAAATCTTGCTCTGAAGTGAAACAGCACACAGAAGGCAAAACTTCTTGGAATTTGATTAACTTGTGCTGCTGTTAGTGTCAAAGCCCAAGGCAGTTTATGTATGAAAGGACTGGAGGGGGGGACGGGACGGGAGACCACAGCACAAGAGACTTGGCTTATATGGGAAGCATGTACACAGACATATACACAGACATAGCTCACAATAAAAGCTTATGATGTCAATAGGCTACTGGTACTTACAGAGCCAAAACTCAGCCCAATACCAGCTAAGTAGTTGCATGCTACCTATCCCTATATTCCTTTTATGATCTCAATACAGTTGGGTTTTTTTTCCAGGTTTGGGTATAGTAAGAACCTTTTTCATTCTGAACTAGAAGATACAGACTTAAGTTCTGACTAGAAACGTCTGCCAGTGAGCATGGCTGACCAGCTGCTATGTGCCAGAAGTTCCCATTACAGCCAGCAGATAGTCATAATCCAATCCCAGGGACCAGCATCTTGTGGAAGAAAGGGCACACTATGTAAATGTAAGCCTTCAGTGTTATCTTTGGTAAATTAGTCCCTTTTGGTTTTACAGGAAAAGAAAATATCCTCCAACATAGGCAGTTTAAGGCTTTAAGATCAAAGGCCAAAATACTAAAAGTTTTTAAAACTTTAAGAAGTGCAGAGAAACATGCCCCATTGGTTATGAAAGCAATAATGGAACTTTGATACTGTAAGCCATATGTGTCTGCATTTGTATATTTAATACATATATCCGCCAAGACTTTGTCGTTTTTTATGCACATTTCATGCAGAAGCATGAAGAATTTAGTGTTTCTTATATTTCTCAATGCAGATCACTGTACTCTTCATGAGGCAGGTACACTTCTTTGCTCAAATTCTCTCCCCTTTATTCTAGTAATTGTTGGAGGTTTGTGCCAAAACCCACATTAACCTGTGGCATTGGCTTCCAGAAACTTTGAGACTCTTCTGCCACACACATCAAGTTCCTGAGATAGCAAGCAAGCATCTGAAATTGAACACTGTAGAATCTAGAAAAATACCACTATCACTATCTACACCACTATCAAAATTTGAAGCTGTCTGGTACTTGAAGGTAATTCAATCCCTTCACGGCACTACTAGTCATTACTAAGCTTATACAAAAAGAATAACTTAAGTTCCCACACTCCCTACTCCACTGAATTTCTCACTAGATCTGCAGAGATTTTTTTCAACATAAATACACTGCAAAAGAGAGCATAGGTTGAAACCATGTCAGTTTGGGATAAGCACAGGAACCTGTTTCTACAAACCAGTTATACGCAGAGACGCAGATACCACTGAGAAATCAAGCCAACAAAAAAGCAAGTGCAGTGACTGATCCTTATGACAAAGCAAGGAGTCTCAGCTTCCATAAGGATGGCTGCAGGGGTATGGACTTCACCCAGACTTAAGTGCTACTACTTTAATAGTTAGGTTGGTAGAGTGCGTCATCAAAAAGCACAAATCCACTTGCATACAACACAGCATAAGATAATTTTTCCTTGTACAGCTGAGGACTGCTCATCATCTTCATTATTCAGCCTGTATGCATGTGATTTTGCTTTTAAAAAGAAAGAAACCCTTCCTCACCAAGACTGGCAGAAAAGTGTTAATAGGAAGTTTGGTTTAGCTTCTTTCTATTTGACAATGTTTCTCTACTGTCAAATCAGGACACCTTCCCTCTGTTGCTTCCTATCAGTGTTTTCATCATGCTATGTCTAACAACTATAGTCCCATTTTACCAGAAGACTATACAGCACAAGATGCAATCTCAGAAGGTTCTCCCTCACTGCCAGATTTCTCATTAAATAAATTTACATTTTCTTCTGCCTTTCTGCACTACTAAAACCAACTTGAGAAACTTCCTAGCAATTTCTCTGATACATCTACAACAATGTCAAACATGATGCAACAACACCTTAAAGTAAGTGCCAACCAGGAATGTAATCCTGGGACCACTGAATTCGTTATCAGAAATCTAGTCAGATCCTTTCACACCAGCTTTGATGGAATTGGACTTTTGTTGCTATTAGGAGAACGGGAAAGAAAAAAAAAAAATAGTGCAAACTGCACTAGGGAAGGGACAGCCCTCTCCCTCTAACGGGTATAAAGCAACAACCTCTCCAGTATAAGAACCTGTGTCTAGCAATGATCCTACCCAGGAGAATGGCTGCAGAACAATCCAGCCCTCCCAATATTATGCAGAAAGACACCAAAATTTGACCACAGATACTTATTTGTAAACTAAAAACTGTGCCTTAGAGAGACTCATTTTTGTTTGCAAGTCACAGTTATCAAACAACACTCATTTTCACAAAGATATGTATGCCTAACTCACTGTGAAGAGGCAAGACTGATTAGCATTAGGATGAAACAGGTTGGCTCAAAATCCCAACCACCCTTTGGCGGTAGCCTCCAAGGACTTCAAGCAGGATTTGGAGTTGAGAGCAAGAGAAGCTTAAAAGGACACTCTGAAGACCCAGAACTGTATGTGCTCAAACAACAAACTTTGCTTAGAAATTCCTCCTGATCCTCAGAAAAATCTCTGTCATGCAAAACAAGAGCTCACAATGCCAAATGATCTGCCTGATGCTCACTGGTCCCTGGGTTTTCTAAAAGTTGCAGACATATCAAGATAAACAGTGTGGTAACTTGCAGTCACATCATGCATTTATGCTGCTCTAGTTTGAATGGTGTATTGTAAATACACTAAATTATACTCTGAGAATATGTTTCTGAAAACACACATAAAAAGCAAGTAAATGGGATCAGAGGTTGCCCTTAAAAAAAAAAAATAGAAGAAAATATCTTTCTATAAACAAAGCAGTCGATTCTCAGTAGCATTACTGTACATCCCTTTACACTCTCTGTACAGCTGAGCCCATACCTGCATTAGCTCAAGTCTTTTTTCCAGCTCCCTCTTGCCTTCTTCTCTGAGACTACCCATAAAAAGCAGAAGCCAACCCTCTTCACAGGACACGGGATCTGGAGGCTTTTCTGCACAGACACACAATTCAAAGACAAACAATAGAAAGGGCAAATCGGTCTGAGAGACAATTTTAAAACCATTAGACACAGGTTTGCAGGTCACATTTACATTACCTTTAATACTTCCAAGACAAAGGAAAAATAAAGGTTCCAGATGTTCCGAGTGCCTACAACTGTCTGGGTTGGTAACACATAACATTTGTGCTCACTCTCACTATGAAACCAGAGATGAGATATCACATGTAAGTGCAGCCCGGTAACAAATGAATTAGCAACATATCTGCCCTTGAGAAGGCCTTGTTCCTTATATTTCCAGCTTGCATTAATACATCTCTCTGTTCACATAATTCTTTCAGAGAGATATCATTAGCTTTTCAAGAGCCACAAAGTAGAAGCGCATGCCTTTGAACTTGGATCAGCTCAGCAATATAAGGCATTATCCAGTAATAATCCATTTTTTCTGAAACCTCAAGGGATCCTACCAGTGCTATTACATGCCACTGCTCAGCAGAGAGCAGCAGGCAATATTTACACCTTAACAAATCGCTGCATGCCCTTTTCATATTCTGCATGATTTTTCACCGAGTCACATTCCTTTTAGAAATTGTACCTTTCCAGTTATAGATAGTGATTACACCAGTCAATACCACTACAGTAATACCTACCAAGGAAAACATAGACTAGCAAAAGCACCTCACAAGAACTCCTGAAGCATGATTCCAAGTCATGCCCTGGATTCACACCACTGGCTGCTTCCAGTGAATCCAGCAGCAGGCAGCTACAATTCCCTGCTTTCTGGTACAAACCACTAACATACCTTCATCATAAGGGGCTGATGCATCATCCAAGCTCAGACAGGCAATGACTGAGCAGGCACAAACAAATTTAGGCCAGCTGGATGTGGTCCTTCAGGCTGCTATTACATTCATTGCAGAGGATAAGCCACTGGAAAAAAGCTCATGGTGTATCTCACAGCATGCAGATCGCCTTTAGCTGTGGGAGGCATTAACCTCTAGCCATTGAAGGCAATGGAGCTGTAACAATTTACAGAGCTCTGCCCACAGGCCAGGGGCTTCTTGCAGGGTTATGTCCCAGACCTTTTCCTTTTTCATTAAAGGCCCATTACTGCTTGGTAATGAAGAACAAGAGTGTGTTGTATTAACATAAAAACATTAAAGTAATAACATATATGCAGATAATAAGTGCTGATTTAAATTACAGTCACATATGCAGCAAATTATTTCTGTATATATTGATAAGCATACTTAAAAAAATCCTTTAAAAAAAAAGTGAAATAGATTAAGTTTTAAGACACATCAAAGTTTCTAGATACCTGCTTCAGCTATTCATTGCAAGATAAACAATATAAATAGATGTTTTGATTTTCTGAAGTAAAAAGTATTGATCTTGCAGCCTGATTTCTGCTGATGTAAGCCTGCAAGATTCTTTAGTAGTTTCACTGCCACCGATCAGGAAAAAGAGCATTAAGGTTAACAAGTGTTATGCTCTCTCATCCTAATATAAACTAAAAGTCAACAAGACAGACCCACATTCCTAGAAGGATTAGTTGTAAACAGGAGCTTCATTGCTAAAACAGATTTGACATCAGCTAAAGTACCTGCAGGATCTCTTTACTAGGCTGGAAAGATGCTAAGATATGGATTTGCACTCACTTTGTCAAAAGTCCTCTTTTCTGCTTCACAGCCTATCTGTTGATAAAATGCCTGTAACTTTTTGGTTCATTAAAAAAAAAAAAAAACCCAAACAACTAAGACACAGTTTCTATGTAAATTCAAAGCAGTGCAACTTTGTGCCCCCCTATCAGAAAGTATCCCACTCTGAGGAACCTGAGGATAAAGCACACCACTGCAAAGATTTACACTAACACATTCCATGGAAATTACCATACTTTCCCTGGGACCTACAAATCTCAGCTAAAAGGCAGCAATTTATAACAGGCATGTTTCCAACATGATCACATACAGAGAATCATGTTAAAATAAATTCCAAGATAATGCTTTTTAATGATGTCAGGAATCTCTGTCTTTAGGCTTACCTGTTTTATTTTCACTTTGCAATGAACTATGAGCACACAAGATCACATACTGCTTCTCAGAAGAAAATGGTTGCTAATCTTGACCTCACCATTTATGGTTGTGACCACACCTGGAAGCTATTACCCAGACTGGGTTCCATCAACAATTTTTTTTTATCTTGCACTCCTTTTTTCTTTTCCTTCCTTTTTTTTTCTTTTTTGTTGTTGATTTTTTAACATCTATATAAGGTTCTGAAAAAAAAAAAAGAAACTTGGTTTAAAGGACTAAACTGCATTACTAATGTGGAAGTGTAGCTTGAACAACCTACACAGCTGCAAATAAGAGTTCCTTGTATTCAAAGAATATTGTTAGGGTTTTTTTAGTAGGAAAGTATGAATTTTATAGTGGACTAAATGTCATTCTCATTTCCTTGTGGGATGTGCTTACTCTGGACTAGAAATTGGAATTCATCTGATCAGATTTAAACATCTCTATCTGACTTGATTGTCAAGGCTCCTTTAATAATCAATGAAAATAAAAGTGGCACTTCTAGGGCACAATTAACCTCATTCAGGCATCTGAAGGAAATAAGGTGAAGAACATGTATTTCTCTTGGGAAAAGCAAGCTGACTAACTCAAATGTAAACAATTGTCTTGTACATGCATAAAGCTAATAAAATTTTTTCCACCCAGATATGATCTGTGGTGTACAAAGCATTGCTTACAAACTGTAATAAAAAAGCCCACCATGTGGAACAGCTTTTCTGTGCTGTTTATCCACAACAGTTATTCAGGCCTATTTTAAATAGAAACAAGAGTTGTTGCTTTATGCATTATTCTCCCTACTCTGGGTAACTTGAAGTTCTTCTTATATTTTAGAAGAGGGAAGATGAATAACCCAAGGAGAATACAATAGGCATACAGTGTCCTAATAGCTGATCTCAGGAGCCTTGTTTCAAGAAAAACAGCATGTGGTTAGTGCCCTGTGGATGGCCATGCTCTGGCACTGGGGGGCTTCTGATACTCCTGAGTCTCAGTAGGCTCAGAACATCTCCCAGATTTCCAAGAATAAACCCAGAGGAAACCATTTTGGTGTGAGAATGTGAAATTGTTAGTTCAGTGAGGTCACTGCCAGCCAGCAGCTGGAAAGTATTTCCAAAGGAAACACCGCAGAAGGCGAATCACAGATGTGCTGCTCTATCTGCTGCTCAGAAAAGCTTTCTGCACTTCGGCATTCCTTTTGTGCTGATAGAAACTACAGACCTAGACAAGTCTTTTACACTCTTTTTTATATGAATTTTATCTGGGAGGTTGAGAGAGGCTATATGCCAAACATTATTCTGCTGCAACGTAAAAACTTGATGTTTCAGACTCTAGCCAGAAGAATCCCAAGGAAAGAACTGTGGGACTGACAATCAGAGGGAAGTGTGAGAAGTAGAATGCATGATAATAATTTGGGGAAAAGCATGATTTAGTAGAAAATGATGGTGCAGAGTTAGTATGGGCTTTAAAGAGAAATTGTGGAGCCAAGTACTGTTCATACTGCATTTGGTCATCCACAGTATCTTAAGGTTTTCTATCAAGACAATACCTCCAGAACACCTTAGGGAGATAAGAGAATAAACCAGTGAGTTTCCTGCATCATGACATCTTTGCTTTTTGGCAAATTAGTTTTTGAAGATATTTGACATAGATGCCACTTTTTTCTTCTACTCCTACAATTAAGAACATATTCGGCATGTGGACTCTTTGCAGTACCTCACAACAAGAAGTATAAACAGAGGTAGCAAAAATTGAAACACTTTCTTCACACCTTCTGAACAAGAACAGATGGGTTTTGACAGATATCCAAAAGGCTGTGCTACTTTGCACCCCAGAATTGAGCCCAAATCACATCTGCATTGCTTCCGTAACATGTTATCTACACATCAACATCTTGTTCTTGCTATGGAGAAAGTTTTTGCTTTTTCCCCTGTAATGGTAACAGAACTTTCTTCCTAATTCATTTTGGAGACTTGAGTAGTACAGGAAGGGGATGCTGTTCTCTCTGGCTGGCTGTGAGACACACAGGGACTCTCCACATTATGCCATGAAGACAGGGGTCACTTGCATTACTTACAGTGTCTGTAGTTTACACTTTTCAATTAGGAGGTAATCAGCATGCCATTATGAGTAAAAATTGTTGGAATGACCTTTGGACTGTTTTTTATCTGGCGAATCCCCAGGGGCAGCTTGACTGAAGGAATGACAGGAGAACGAGCTGAGCTAGACTCATGATAAATAAGAACAATTATCACACTTATTATCTAATAAATAATGTATCATGATTTGCCATTAATCCATCACAAAACACCTACTTCAAGTAAAAGCCTGCAGCCTGACTTCCTTTTATGCATCCCTGCTTAGTGTCAGGTATTTGTGCTAAAGGAACATAAAAGGAGTGTTTACTCAGAAGCAAAGAGCCGCCCCTGCATCCCTGATCATTTCAATCAGGGAGGATGAATTATGGCCCTCATAGAAGCAACAAATTGATTCTTCTGACTGACTGCTGCTTGTTTAAGTATCAGAAAGCCATCACAGGAAAAGGCTCTAAATGGTCTGACCCTCCAGCTCAGAAAAGACTTCAAAGCACTTCACACATTACAGAGATTATTCTCCTTTTTTCACGGGTAAGTACACTAAGATACACGATAAGCAGGCCAGTTTTTTTCCAGATTCAGTGCCTGAATAGAAGAACCTGGACTCATCCTGCCCTGGGGTTTCTCCAGGGATTCTTGTGTTTGCTGCTTCCTGGCTCGTGGGTCCTCACCCCTGCCGCTGGAATGGATCAGGATATTATATTGCACACTGACAAATATTAAGGAAATCAGCAATTGTATCCAATTTCCATAGGGTACATCAGCAGCTGCCCCAGTCAGCTGAGTTATAATTGCTGCAAGGATCAGGGGTGCTGGGCTATGAAAGATACCTCTGTTTCTGTCTAATTTTATTTGGTCCACATTTGTGAATGAAGCTCTTTGCTTTCTAGCATCCTAGATGAACCCCTACATAAAATATTCAGACTTCTGAATTAAGTATCACCATTCATATCTGACACCCAACCTTAGGGGCTTAACTAAAATCACAGAAGAAATCAGTACCAAAGCCAGCACAAAAGCAGATTGTACACTCCTGTCTCTGTTATGGTTAGCAGGCATACAGAGGTCCCTTTGCCTGAATGAACTCAGTGTCTGGAGATGAAGCCCAGAGTGAGAACTTACCAGCTAAATAACACTGTCCTCTAGCAGAAGAAAATACTGACTGCATATGAATTTACTAATCAGTCCTTCGCAAATGTTGAACCTATACATAATCTATTAAATACACTCTAAATGAAGAAAGGAAAGACAAAATCTTTTCCTGCTATAGGCTTTCACTAAAGCAATTCCAAGAAGCCAAGATGCATTCTAGCCACCAACATTCAGTGAAAAAACTGACTTCTTGAAAATTCACTACCTTTTTCCCAGGATATTTAATTTATTGATTCAATGTAATTTTTAAAGCATGCATGTGGTTGTCTTTTTTTTGGTTAATGTTAATTTTTTTTTTCCTTTCAATTTATTTCTGCTTTTATATCATGGAACCACAGAAGGGACCTTAAAGCTCATCCAGTTCCAACCCCCTGCCATGGGCAGAGACACCTTCCACTAGACCAGGTTGCTCAAAGCCCCATCCAGCCTGGCCTTGAACACTGCCAGGGATGAGGCAGCCACAGCTTCTCTGGGCGACCTGTGAAAGTGCCTCACCAGTCTCACAGTAAAGAACTTTTTCCTAGTATCTAATCTAAATCTACCTTCTTTCAGTTTAAAGCCACTGCCCCTTGTCCTATCCAGTTGATATTTAACAGCTGTGCATATTTACTCAAGCATTTAAAAAGTCTTGCAGACAGCTGTTTCTATTTTTTCAGTATTTTCCTCATGCATTCTGTAGCATTTCTTTTCCATCTTCACATTTCCTCTTGTCTGCGCCAATCCTCCTGAAAATGTGCTTTACCATAAACAACGAAACCCTAAGTAAATCCCTAAGTGTTCACGCTAATGGAAAACAAATGAAAAAAAAATAATAGTTTTCATGTAGTATCATTATTGAAGAGCAAAAATATTTTCCATTCCAAAACACAGAACTCTCTGGCTGTTCAACTACTGCATTTGTAAATCTAACCCAGAACTCAGCAATATCTCTTTAAAAGCATACTTGAACATAGGTTTTCAGGAAATAAGCACTTTCAGGTAACTTGCACAAAATCAGAGGCAGAAGGGAATCAGAGAAAGAAGGGCAGTACTAAAGGAAAAGACAGCAGAGCACAGCAGGAAAGGACCAGAAAAAAAGGAGGTTACCCACAGAGGAAGAGTCTTAAGGGAAATTTCACCTTGAATTTTACTCTTCCATGACCTAGACACAAAAACTCCTCACAGCAGTGAAACTGCAAAGTGGGGCTTTCTGATTAATTAGGGATCCCCCATCCAAAAAAAAAAAAAGCCTCATTTTTATTTCTGAAAATGTAGTTCAAAAATATCAGATGCTTTACAATGACACTGTCACTTTTCCTGTGGGTTTCCAGCCATGTCTTCTCCACGATCCATGAGTTGAAGGCTTCATGGCAAAACACATAATCTTAGGACAAAAGTTAATGTTTAAGACCTTTTACTTCTTTGTGAAGCTGCTGGCTTCTTAGAAATCAAGTTGTGGTTTTTTTGAGGATTAGTTTGCTATTAAACATTTTTCACCAATAATCTGTCTCAGCTGGAGTTTTTACTTAATGAGCTGTATTATTCATTAATCAAGTTTCCTGAAGCTTCATTTTACTGAAAGAATAACATCTTTACAGATTATTCTTGCTAACACTTTTATACACCAGTTGCAATTATACCAATGGGTAAACACATTTTGAGGGAGTGAGATTATTTTAGCAATATAACCAAGATTGGAAATACTTTTCCCCTTTAAGTACCAGTTTTCATGTCCACATTCATGCTTCTGCGTTTAGCACTACTAAAGTTTCAGATTATGGATTTTTCTGGGGCTATCATGTACCTAAATATGATATTTCTGGCTTTTACATTTGGGCAAAGCTTATTCAGCCACTCAAGGAAAATACTTCCATTATTCATTTTTTTTACCAATGTATCATCAATATTAAAGTCTGAAAATATAAATGCGGCAATAACTGGAAATTTCTGTGGAAAAACCTTAATCTGGTTGTCCTTGAAATACATGCAACTTTCTGATATTCCTATTATTGCATTTAGCCTTTGTTTTCATCAGCCTCCTTCACATTTTGTACATCAGATCTTCCCATTTGCAGGGAAGGCTCTAGAGAGCACAGCTGTATGGTGGAGGCATTTAACTACCAAACCATGACCAAGGCATTAGGAAATAACCCTGCGGTGACAAATGAAGACAGCAGACCACTAAGATTGTTGGGGTAATTCTGGTTTCTAAAATTTCCTGGAATATTCCCAGAGCAAAACAGAAAATAAATACATTTGGGGTCCAACTGAGAGCATTCTCTCATCTTTGAGTAGAAAGAACAGGTAGAGGTGAGCCAATTTTGCCCATATATTGACTAATGAAGGAAGACAATCAGGAATTTGAAGGCAGTTAGCATGCAGTAGCAGATGAGCAGGCTCTGGCTGAGAAAGTCATTCCTCCCGTTGCTCCTTGCTTGTAGTACTATATTCCTCACATTAAAATCCGGCAGGGGAAAATACTGAAGCAGAATAAAGCAGGCATTGCTAAAAGGCAAAAGGGAGGTGGGGAAGAAGGCTTACTAACAAAACATGGTCTGGTAAAGCAATAAATCCTGAGCAGCTCTTACCTGGGGCACTCTGCGTCTCCAGGGAAGTGCTGTGCATCGACTGTTGTTAATGGGGTTCAGCTGCAGTTGGGCACATGGGATCTGACAGTGCATAGCATCTCTCAAGACATTTCCAGCACCCAAATAGTCACACTGGGAAGTAAAGTAAAAGGGAGGGTGAAAACCTAATATCTTCAGTGTTATATGTATATGTACTGACACACACAAAAAGGAGCATGACAACATCACAAATTAAAGGCTATAAATTATTTCCATAAAACAAGGAACTGATACTATGATTGAGAGGAGAAAACAAACCAAACATATAAAAACAGAAAGCAGGTGTTAGAAGGATCCCAGTGTTTTTAAGGATCTGGTAGAAGGAATAGCTAGTGGCAACAACTTCCTAAAAATCTTTGAGAACAGCCTCAGTCTCAAAGGGCTGCAGTGAAGGAAATAAACTGCCCATCTCAAGGAAGGAAAACTCGACAACTGAAAATTAGAAACTCATGTTCCAGTCATTGACAGATGTGCAACTACAGCAAGTTTGAAGTAAGCTGGGAGAAAACAGACCTACAGAAAACAAACCGTGACAGCAAAAACTGTGAGAAAACTTGGGTAGTGGGTGGTGGGTTGAAGTAATACTGCTCAAACACTGTTCCCTTGCCATCAGGATTATATCAGCTATATTATTAAAAGTATCCTCTCTCATTCATTAAGGTACAAAATATAATTGCAAAAATTACGGCTCTTTTTCTCCTTGTCTTTCTGCCTATACTCAGCAATCCATTGAACACAACAGGATTATTTCAATGTTGGACAGGCCACAACACTCCCAATTTTCTCTCTCCAAAATTAATGCTGCGGGAGAGCTGGCATGCAACGACCTGCTGAGCCAGAAGAGGGAGCAACGAAGGACGGGTCATTCTCTCGAAAGCTCTGGCGTTGATTTGGCTTCGCCAATACTAAATGACTGCAAAATATCTGAAAGGTCTGGGTTTGGAGCTTTGAAAGGAGATCTACTGGCAAGAAGCTTGAGAGTTGGTGCCAGTTAAGAGCAGGAACTGGGAACATGCCAGGACGAGGAGGAGATGCCGATAGAGGTGCACTGGTGCACTGGCAGCACCTCAGCTCTGGTTTTGTGCCATCCATACCAAGTGGAGTGTCACTTAGGGGAGCAGAAAGAGCTATCTTGGCAACACAGGAACAGGAAATGAACAAGGCGTCTCACCCAGACCTTTGCAACCAACTGTGCAAGAGCACAGGCATGGACTAGGGTAACTACGGCTTCTCCAGCAGCAGAGCAGTTCTGCTGAGCTGCTGGCACCAGGGTTTGACTTGCTGTCGCTAGCACAATCATACTCACAGGCTTAAGCTTATAGACAAGAAATTAAATCTGAAAGGATCCTTCTGCTGATGCTCATTTTCATCACCTTGCACATCATTAAATGTCACTCACTTGCACGGTGTAGCACCGCATTACTATATTTACCCAGGCATTAACAGCAGAGCTGGTGCAGAAGAGCAGAGCCCTGCTGTCCTTTCTGTCTGCCTAGAAAACTCCAGTATCCACACAGGCTGGGGAGCTGTAACCAGAAAGAGCAGCAGCCAGAAGCTGTGGTAGCCTCCAAGTAGATAGTCTCAGAACACAGTGACTGTAAGTGGGGTTTTGGATCTAGAGGTACTACATGGCATGGTTTAGTACTACATGGGTGGCAGGGTTTAGTGTGAGGTGTCCCTGCTCATGGCAGGGGGGTTGGAACTAAATGATCTTAAGGTCCTTTCCAACCCTAACTATTCTATGATTCTATGATACAAGTGACAACTCTGCAGCCACTTGCTCTTTTAGCCTCACTGCTTTTTTCTTCTTTAGTGTCTTTTAATCTGCCTGCCAGCCAACTTGCTCTGCTTTTAGCACAACACTTGAAACAGAAATGGCTCAGCTTTCCAAAAAGAAAAAAAAAAAAATATGAAACTTGCAAACATTTACTAAATCTCTGTATTATTGTAACCAATACTTAAGGCCAAACAGAACAGATGTCAAGCTTGAGATGCAGTGTATTTGTGGAGCATCGTTTATAAAACCCAGTCGCTCTGAGTAGCTCCTCAAGAAGCAGGGCAGCTTCAGCTCTGCCCCTTGTGCCATCCACAGGACTGCTGGGTAGCTAGGGCCACACGAGGAGTATGGCTGGCTCTGCCGTGCCCTGTGACTCTGCACTGCAGGACTGCACTGAAGGTCACTATGGCTGCCACTGAAGAAGGGGTTCCTCTGAGTATCATCTGTCATCCCTGGTGTCACTAGAGAATTAGGAAGATCAGCTCTGTCAGAGACCCCTCTGACATACTGGAAAAAGCTTCATGCACTCCATCAATCCTGCCAGAGACTTGTGTCAAACAGAAATTCAAAGGCTGAGAGCACACACAGGTTTAAGAAGAAGCCAGAAGCTTTTCCACCAGCTAGCAGGGTCCACACACTACACCACCTCCCTGGAAGCTAAAGGTAAAGAGATAAGCATGGGGCTTAATGCAGTTGGGTGCACTCACACACACAAACACACACACACACACACACACACACGCACTCATTCTTGTTTCAGTGTAAATAATACCCATTCATCACAGAAAAACTAATCCCAGGAATGCAAAGACTGAACTGCTGCATTCTGCTTTGCAAAAGGAATACAGCTCTCAAAGAGCAGGAGGCACCAGAGGCCCTTTTCTTCACCTTGCACCTCGCCCATCTGGGCTAAGCAAAAAAGGTAGATAAGAGCCTGTGATTACAAACGCTTGCACCAACACACTTATTTTCCATTCTTTGGCCTCAAGAGGTACATTTCAGGCCTATTTGGTCCTGTACCAAAAGCAACGTTATAGTGCCCCAATTGCTAATTGCCATAGTAAAGTTTTTTACAGACAAACATAACCGTTACACCTGCACTATTACCAGCTTGCATCTGGCTTAGAAGTCAGGTCCAATCCTACCGTCACTGGAAACCTCAGAGTCAATACTCTATTCTCTCCTATTTTTAATAATGCCCTCATCACTCTAAGTGTCTCCTGCCTTCCAGAAGGAAGGCATATTAAATGATGCAACAAAGTCATCTCATTTTCATTCCAAAAAGAAACTGATGCATAGGATTTTAATTACAGTTTCATTGTCGGTTTGTTGGTTTTATTCTTTAAAATATACTGCTCTGTGCATGCCTGTTACTGAAAACAAGCTCTGCCTGCACAGGGCAGCTGCAGGATCACACACTGTGGGAAACCTCTCGCATGATATTTGATGTACTGCACCACAAATATCTTGCTCCTGGTTTAGTACCTTTCTTTGCATTCACACCCATTGTTCTTTGCAGGTACTGTTGTGGTTTTTAGGAAATTAAGAACCAAAACAAAGACTGAAAACTATTAAAAAGAATTTAGAGGAGAAAATAATATTATTTTTTTTAGAATGTATGGCAATCCCAGAAAAGCAGCTGCAATTAAGAGAAGCTGAAGAAACAAAAGGGCTCATCTTGCAAAACAAGAAATCAGTGATCAGCTTCATATAATCATAGAATAGTTCGGGTTGGAAAGGACTCAAGATCATCTAGTTCCAACCCCTCTGCCATGGGCAGGGACACCTCACACTAAACCATGTTCAAGATCAGACATTGAAAAGACTTCAGCCACAGTAGTCACATATCCTAAATTTATGTGCCAAAGTTTTCATAACCCCACTGCTGCAAAAAAATATAGTCCCTCAGCTAGTGACAGCTGGTGAATGCAGACTCAATTCAGTGTAGCCATACCGGTTTACACAAACCCATAGCTTTGTCCCTAGATTCCTATGCTTGTACAATCTGTAATTCTTCATACAAATCAATAGGTTGTAGGGCTTATTTTCATTAGGATTATTTTTCACTCAAGAGTTCACATGATTAAGTGTACATGTTATATTCCAGAGAATATGCACAGCTATGTGGACAACCTCTATTATTCCCCTTGGTTTAAAAATAATTTTTGAGGACTTGGCTATATATTTGCAAGATCCTGGAATGTCAAGCATAAGAAAAGTTAAAAAAGTAATTTTATACCTATCAATTAAAAAAAAAAAGTGAGAAAGTGCTCAAAACACTCACCATAAGCAATGATTAATCTGATCTTTTAACCAGCCACCTCTGTCTCACTAAGACACAGGGAAAATACAGCAGTACCTGCTACAACCTAATTCCAGGATTTGGAAGCCCTCCTAGCAAGCTGAATCAGTGGGTGCAGTTGGCAGATCTTGCCAAAAACGATCCAACTGAAAGCCGCCATAGTTACAGCAGCACAGAGCTCTGCAAGTAAATTAGTCATCTCAGTGCTCCATATTGCTGCAGCGTGCCTGTTTCCAGCATCTAAGCTACCCAAGTGTGATGTGTTTATACTGCATGGAGTACCCTTGCCCTCAGACATGCCCTCGCACAGTTTCTCTTTGACTTCAACTTTGTAGTAAGGGATAGTAGTTTATTGCTGCCTCACACTACCTTCTGTGGCCAGTAAGGAAAGGAATCTTTCTCCTTACCCCAGTGTCCTCTCACATTTCCCACCCATCAGCTCTGGAGAAGAAAGGCATATATTTGAATCAACCCCCCATTGCGACTGATTCCTACCGCACCTATGTGGTCCAAGGCATAATGTCATCCTTTAAAGGTTATGCCCATCCTGTTCATATCTTTAAGGGAAAAAAAAAATACAACCAAACACTTTCATGTTTTTCTCCTGAGAGGGAAAATGACCTTTCATTGCAGAAAAACATCCTAGCTGCACCATTAATGCTGAGGGGTCAAGTCCTCACTGCTTTGATTGAAGAGCTGTGTGAAGAGCCAGCCTCCTCTCACTGCTGTAAAATTGGAATGGTGCATTTTGTGCTGCTTGCACTAGTTGTTGCTGTCAGTTACACTTAATGCAAATAGCACAGATGCCAGCTATTGTACATGGTAAGATTTCCTTTTATTTAATAGAAAGGCCCCTTTCTACCCAAAAGCCATGACATTTAATATGCCACATCAAGGAATGATGGACATGGTCTGGTACCAAGTGTTTCAATATTACATGTGTACCTACAGCTCTAGTAGGCATGTATGTTAGAGAAAATCTTTTAACAACATATGATATGCCATCATTATTAAATTGCCTCATCACCTTGTTTGTGACACTCAATTTAACTGATATAGTTCATTATTACTCAAATTGCTCTGTGCAGAGATGCTCCTCCTACTGCAGATACAAAAGATAAGTGTTTGGCCAATTAAGACATTTGAACAGATAAGTATCCTCAATCATCTTCATTCACATGCTTGCAGATCTTAATTTCTAAACTAAAACTCTGTCTATTTTGGGGGTGTGGGGGAATACTGTGTTTCTCTGTTTCTTGCCCTTCTGTGACAGAAAACACACACTTTGGAATAATGAATAATACTTTTTACTGTGATAACTAGATGTAAAAAGATACCAATACTGTGTAGCTTTGGTTTAACATACTAAACTTTTGAACATTACCAGGAGTACACAGACTACTTTGCAAACATTGATACCCAGGACATTAATGGAAGGTATTAATCATACAACCTATCTGCTTTTTGAAGACACATATCTGAAGCACAGATAATGCCTGAAGAAATCCAGGCACTTATGGAGTGTCTCAGGACTGTCATCTGCTTCCAGCTCAGTAACAGCACAGGTGAGTACTGGTCTGTATAGAGTAACACAAACAGAACACCACCTGTAAATTATATTTCATATGCATTTCTACTAGTTGCTCTATATACTCATGGCTCAAAAATTGCCAGGTTTATAACACCTCTTTGTTTAATATTCCTTTGCCCTACTGGTAATCTAACAGCATTAGTAGATACTTTCCTCCCTAAAATAAAGAGTCCAGCATGTTACTACTTCCACAAGCAGTCAGGGAAAGGACTGTATGGTCTTTCATGCATTCACCGGGTTGTACTTGAAAGCCATTGTCCTCACAGTGGAATAAGTCTGACTTTTCCATGTCTTAGTAAGCTCAAACGTGCCTGCTTTCAGCAAGACTTGCCCCCTGTGATTTGTCCCCAGCAACTGCAGCAAAAAAGCACCACCTTTGAAACCGATGGGAAACCAAGGTACAAACCCAATGCAAGATAAGGAATCAGCCTTGCAGAGAAATGTGGTGGGGATAAAAAATCGGCACGAATAACTTCATGCTATTCAACATTAATTACTTACAGGACGTTTTTCAGTTAAAGATGGTCAAAGGAACAGCTAAGCTGGCATTTGAAATTGCAAGAGGCAACTCATGTTGCTCAGGTCTAGTATTCAGATTTTTATAATTATAAGCAGGTCGTACTCAGTCCCTTATAGAGATGTGGCCTTTCATGCGCCTTGTTTCCAAGGCAAGCAAAGTGTGAGTACATTTGCCTGCAACACTGAGACAAGCCCTGCTGCCTTCCACCACCCAAACTCCCCAGCTCCCACTGCTACCTTACCTGCTCAAGAATGGCTGCAGCTACGAATAGTTTAGTGACAGGTCATTGTCTGATAACTGATTTCAACATAAAAACGCCTGGAAACATCCTCAGTGTACTCCAGCCTTGCACTTTCTTTGCCAGAAAGAGGCACCCCTCTGTGTCCTGCCAGAGGAGGAAGGCGAATCCAGGTTGCTCCTCCAGCCCTGCCATGAGGCCCCATCTTCTCAGAGGAAAATCTCACCTTTCCTTAACCCTGTTCTGTGCACCATCATGCAGCAGACAGGCTGGAAGCCCCCTTAGGCAAGCTCCAGCTTATCCCTGATATTTAAGACCCAGCACCCCCACCTATCCTGGCTGCCTCCTGTCTTGAAAAACACACCATACCACCTGACACGCTCTCACATGGAGGCTGCTGATGGGTAGTTAACCTGGACAATAATCAAGCCAGAAATGCATCAAGTAGTCACCACATGAGTTTGGAAATCTGCGACCAAAGACAGAAATGGTGCGTGAACCACAGAAATAAATGGTTTGCCCAGCTCGTTACCTGATCAGCTATGGTAAGGGGGGGTCTTTTGGTGCCCTGTTAACACTATAATCAATGCCACTAACATTCAGTCTCTTGTAGTGCATTGTTGCAAATGTTGATTTATGCCTAGAAAGTAATAGCTTCATTTCTTACCTCGTGGAGAAGCAGATGACTGAAAGCTTACTTCTGCAGAACAGAGATTATCAAAGGCTCAATGACTATTGGGTTTTGCATTTGCCATAACACATCCCATGACTCTGCTAGGATGCTTTGGGAGAAAACAAGGACATTCAGATCCTAATACAAAGCAGGCAAAACAGGTCTTGGAGAGGAGAGGAGAAGGAAACTACTAAGCACACAGATCAGCCTTCTCTACTCGTCGCTACAGCATTGCTACCCAGTTCACCTCAAGCAAAAGGCAGTTCAAAGGCAGGAAATCAAAACCAAAATTAATTCAGAGAAACCCTCATGTGCAGCCTGCTCCCTATGTTGCAGCATTCATATGACAGCAGCCTGTGGGGAGTGCAAAGAAAGCTGCAGATACAAATGGGCATTTTGGAGGGTCCCATCCTGTTCAAAAGGGGCCTTGGTAACTGCTGCTACTGCCAGCGCAGCTGGGGGAGGGGGGGGTGTGTGTGTGTGTCAAATTCAGCTCTGATTTCTTCCCACACACAGAAACAGCAAGGGTTTTCATTCAGGAACGGGGGAGAAGAGAGCTTCTACTCATCCTAATGAGTCTCACACTAACGCAACAAGTGAATATTCAGGGGGTTGCTTTTGCGATGGGTCACTCATGCTTACCAGACAGAGAAAAAATAATATATGCATTTTAGGCTACCAGTGGCAAAAGCTTTGTTGGGTTTTCTTCCAAGAAGATGCTTGACAGTCCAAACACTACTACAGTTGAACAATGCAATTCCCAAAGCCTTAAATAAAAGAAAGGTCTCGCTGGAAATAGCACGGGGAACTCTCACTCTCCAAGCATGTATTTTTTGTAGCAGAATCCCAGTCCCTCACCAGCATCCTTGCTAATAAGAAAAACCACGTGTTCTTACTTTGAAGCTAGCCACACTCAGAATTTGGTGAAGGTGGAAGACTACCTAGGAATGAGCCCCACACAGCTCCTGCTCTTCCCACCAGGTCAGGGAGGGGTAGCTCATGCAGCACAAGCTCCTTTCCCATCAGGAGGTGAAGTGATAGTGTTTTAACCAGAATTACTCAGCAATAAGACAAAACTTTTCTCTTACCGGCCAGAACTCATCCCTCCTAAAGAAAGAATAAATAAGGTGGGAAAAAGGGAAATGGCAGCTGTGATAGACAGTCCTATCTGTACCCAAGTACAAACCGCACAGGAACATCTCGAGGACAACTTTGCCTCACTTCCAGAAAAAAAAAGACAGTAGAAGACAGCAAATTCAGAAAAGGGAGAGCAATTTTAATAGCAGGCATCCGCACTGGCAACTAGAATCCCCACTGTGATAAAGGAGACAACCTTTCCCTGGGAAATTTAAAGTCCAGGCTGTAGACATTTTCATCTGCCACTTTAAAAAAATACTTCTATACTGCATGTCAGTATTTTCTGCTCTGTCCCTGTCATGTACAATTGCAACACCAATGGAAAGAGCCCCTGCCTCTATATTGGATTAATACAAGTGACATTTCTCCTCAACTATTTTTATATAGCTACTGTCAGTCATATCAACTTTTAAATCTCATTTTAGTCAAGACAGCCCTGAAAATGCTACTGGACTTCCCTGGAAAGATCTGCAAGTATTTTTATTTATTCTTATTTCCATGATGATTTGATGGTATTTTTTTTTTACAGTTTCTCTTTTCTGTAATCTGGCTGGCAATCCCATAAAGAGAGCAGAGAGCAATGAAGTAAACCCTAAAAAATACAAAATGGGGAATAATATCTAAACATCTCAATTTAACAATCACTTTTCCTCTAAATGTCCTTCAAGCTTTAGATTTACCTTCTGGAGAGCCTGATCTATATTTAGTTCACAGGGTCAGGAGACCTTTCTTTGCCAGTTGCTAGATGGTCAACAGTTCAAAAGCTATTGACCAACTAGGAGAGCAGTAGTGCAAAACTGTTTTAAGTCTCATGACCCTGTCTCAGCCAAATGGATTGTTTTTGTGAAGCCCCAAGGATAATAAATTATATAGCCAAACAGACACATTAAAACACTGTGGCTGCAGAGAAGACCAGAAAGTGCTGTGGTGAAGATAGGCCACGTTTTAACGCTATAATGAGCATAGGTCAAATAGTGGCTTTTAATTTACTTGGAATGCAGTTGTTTGCATGTTAAGACCTCAGTTCTGCCACCAGGCAAGGGAAGCTAAATACATGACTCTGAAACCTCTCTACAGTTTAATCCTAGTGAACTCCCCTCACGCTATTTATCTCCCTTACAATTAATTTTGGGACAATGTCAAGCAAATAAACACAAAACCAAAACCAGAGCAAGTGCCTATGCAGCTGTTCCGTGGCATTGCAAGCCTCTTTCTAAGAGAAAGAACAAAAGGGAAGAGCTATTAAGGTGTTAAAGTGACCCTCATTTTTTAGTGAATTGCCTATAAAGCTTACATAAAGCCACAAAAACAGAAGAAGGAGAACCTGGTAATAGAGTGCACAATGCAGAGTATCTTACATCGTAAACCCAACACATGAGCACCGGTGCCCGAGCATTAGCTTGGATGTATTACCTAGGATGCATTAGCTCTTCAGAACCAGGACAGTTCTCCCTTCCTCCAAGGTGGGTGAATGGGAAGGCAGCTGAGGAAAAGTTACAGGGTGTAGTGGCTTAGCAGAGAGGGTACAGGATGTGGTGTGGTGGCCTCAGGTGTCACTTTGCCAAAGAAATGCTGCAAAATGTAGTTTCCTAATCCTCACAGTAGCCTAATTAACTCTGAAGAGCTTTCCAGAAGAGACAGAAGAAGAAAAGGAAAATGCTTTAATGATCCATTAACCCACAGATGTGTGGGTTTATATTTTAACAGAGCTTTAAGCATGCAAACTGCAGCTGAGAAGCAGCTTTGTTATTGGCCCAGCCCAGCCTCTGCCAGAAGGGGTCAAGTTCATTTTCCAGACTTTGAAGCAGGCCCATTGAGAAGGTCTGAGATAGCATTAAAAAAAAAAAAAGAAATAAAAAAGAAATTAAAAGAGAAGAAAACCCTTCAAGATTCTGCTAAGAAAAAGCTATGACCCTTTTGCTTTCTCTGAAGTTACAAAGCGTCCCTTAATGTTCTTCAGTCCTGCCTTCTACGCAGCTCAGGGTGGCTGTACCTGTGTCACCACTGTAGTGGGACACACCACCTAAAGCAGGCCACTACAGTTCAGTTTTTCAGTATTTCTTTCTGTGGACTGACAGCAGCTCCCTTCTATGAGCACAGTCCTACGGACCTTTTGAGTTTGCTGACACAAATTCATTGTGCATCTATAATGCCAGGCAGCTGCGAGTGATCCTAAAATCCACTTAGTTCACACATACAAAAAAAAAAAATGTGGATTATTAGCTTAAATATAGCTTTCCAGGTTAAGGCACATTAAATGCCAGGGTAAAGAGTTTTATATTGACAGTGACAGCAGGAGCTTAGTCCCTTGGGCTTGGTGTAGGAGTTTGGCAGCTCAAGACAGTCAGACAGATGTCTTCCCCTTCCCTGCCTTTAGTCATCCAAGTTTGTTATTCCAGACAGCTGTCTATTTTACTGGTATGACAAGGCTTGCATAAGCCAAGCAGCTTAGATATGTACTTCATCCCCTTTCTCCAGGACCAGTTTTGCTCTAACACATACAAAGACAGTTTGTTTTGTCAAATCAGGGAAAAAAATAAATCCTAGACATCAGGGAAAATACACACATGAATATCCTACAGAACCCATGCAGCTGAGAGCAAACACTACATCCTAAATTTGTCTTTTAGCACAGTGAAATGACAACCAGGAACTCTGAAGCTCAAAGGCATATTTGGATTTCAGCTTCAACATGTGGACTTACGTAAGGTTGCTGAAGCAACTCAACAGAAAATGCGTTTCCTGCAGCTTTTCTGCATGCAGTTGACATGTCTTTTTGATAGGGTATGTTTTATTTCATTATTATGCACAGCACCAGGACTATCTGATACTTGTATAGAAGCTGTAACACAGGTGATTTCAATGGAGATGGAGCATATAAGCCATGGTAACAAGTCCAGAGCTGCCTGCTACTTTTATTGGCCCTACCCTACCTGTGCAGACACAAGCAGCAATGAATCTGTCATCGTTACTTACCATCCCCATCACCCCGATACCTCAACACCTCGTAATATTTAATGCACCTGCCCTCCACACTCTCCAAGGCTGTTTTGATGGGTTTATCCCAGAGGTGAGAACTCGAAGAAAGGGATGCACACAGGCATCTCTCTCTATCTCAAGTTCCCCATTTGTAAGCTAGAGACAAAATTGCTTCAGAAACCTATAGCAGATAGGGAATCAAACCCACTTCCCATCCTAGCACACCAGCAGGGGTGTCCCCTGGCTCCACATGCAAACCCATAGCAAGAGTGGCAGATTCTGCCCCAGCCTGTGGCCAGGCATGAGCACCAAGCACTGAGCACCAAGCATTTCTGCAGCTAGGAGGCAGGAGGGACTCAGGTTTTGCAGCACATTTCACCACAGATCCATCCCGTGTGGTACCGTTATTAACTGTTAATTTTGTACAGCACACCTGATGCGGTGCAAGGGCGATGGCTGCTGAAAGCCAGATGATTTCACAGAGCAAGTTGATGTGGTTTGTGTCCTTTATCATCTTCCTCTCTTGCTTCTTTGTCTTTTCAGTCAATCAGAATTCTTTAAAACTCCACATGAAAAGTAAATAACCAGCCTCAGCTCATTCCACCTCTTAACACACACTGTAAATAACATATTTCCAGTCATTCATATTCTGTGACTTGAACTTTATCCTGAAGGGGTTTATGTGAGTTAGCACTGGAAACATATCTCTAAGGCAGGCTGTGCTTAGTAGTTAATAGCTATGTGCAGCATACCTAGGCTGAGGAATCATTATACCCCCTGTGAGCAATTCAGTATGTATATATAATGATCTCATTACCAGGCAGCTATTCCAATTTTATCTAGGCTTTAATATTTCTTGAAGCAAAAAAAGCATACAAAGGGGGTTCAAAATCCAACTCAATCAAACTCCATATTGATGGACAATTACTCAGCTGCAGGTCAGTATAAACAGAAAAAGGACAAAGGATTATCCTCCACCTAGACTAAGCTGTTTTACCTTGTTTCACTGTCTCAGCCTGTACCTAGGATTGGCACGAGCTGCTTCCCAAATGTGGTATCTAAGTGATCCAATGAAGTTTCCATCAGAGTTGTGCAAGTGCAGCACTGCTGCTTCAGAGCATGCTGTGCAAAGATTTTTACTTCAGTTTCTACCCACATAGTTCTCATCTTGTCTCTTGTGAGACCTCACCTGGAGTATTGTGTGCAGTTCTGGTGTCCTCAACATCAAAAGGACATGGAACTGTTGGAACAAGTCCAGAGGAGGGCCAGGAGGGTGATCAGGGGACTGGAGCAGCTCCCGTATGAAGACAGGC